CTGATTAAGGAAACTGCAGCTCCTGTAGCAATCAGACATCTCTCCACTTTCCCAATCACCTCTACTATCGCACCTTTATTCAACACCCCAAGGATGCACTCGCCAACATGAGAACAGTACGATTGGTAGCATTTATTTCGTACAAAGGCTGTACTGCAATTTGACGGACATTGGCGCTTTCAGTGTACCAGTTTCCTACAAATGAAGCAACGTCCCTTCAGCCGTATCTTCTGTGCCCCGACGTCTTGCGTAATCTGTTCAAATCTCTCTTCTAACTCGTTCAATCTCTCCTCCTTTGCTTTGTTTTCCGTTGTCAAAGCAGCAACTGCTTCATGTGTAAGCTCCCTCGCTACTTGGGCAAGCTCCATCATGCCAGGTCTCTGGGTGGGGTTCACAATCCGGAGAAGATCGGCTACCGCCGGAGGCAGACCATCCAAAAACTGTTCCACTAACAGTTGTTGCCTTGACTCGTCATCCAAGTTAGGCAGCGCCCGGACCAGCAATTCACTGATGTGGACCGCGACGAGCGGGTCCACTCCCGCTCCAAGCCGGGCCGCTTTGAACCGCCTCTTGACAGTCGGCCGGGTTGTCGAACCCCGCAACCAGTATTTCCTTCGCTGCGGCCCATTCCAACTTGACAGGGTCCCTTCGTGCTGCATCCAGAATAGCCTTCGCCCTGTCTTTGAGGAAGTTCCGCAGCGCAGCCAACTTCGCCCGGTCCTGCATTACCCCGACAGCCTCTGCAACATCCTCGAAGTGCTCCAAAAACTTCCGTACATCGCCAACCTCAAAGGGCCCCGGCCACCGAATCTTTATTCCCCACGCGGTTGACCACGGCACCAAATGTTGAGAATGCAACGAAGGGCGGACAAGTTGTTTATCGAAGAACACATGCCTGGTTAACATAGGAACGCGAGTCCAATTTGCGCATAACATTCGCAGCACCTTCCAGAGCGATGCGTCGTTGCAAACTCTCAGTCACCGAGGATCTGTTTAGATTGCTTCCTGCCCCTCGTATACGTCATCCGGTTGATTTTCCACCATAACTCCTTCGTCTGCCGGCGTCTCATTATTTCCCTGTTTCCCTTGCGCGCCCTCGTTGATACCAATACTACTTATAAGCAGTGCACCGCAGTATGTGGCCTTCAAGTCAAGGAAAACCGCCATAGTCGGTCGTCTGTACGTGTGTCTGTTCTAAAAATTGGTGAAAAGTAAATACGTGGTCGGTACAACCACAACCAGGGCGGAAGTCAGTGCGGCTTTCAGCGATTCGGCTCTCACGAGGACCAGTAAGTCGTCGAATAATGAGACCCATAGGAAGTTTGAAGGCAACAGAAACGTGGCTAATGCCTCGATGATTTTCGCACAAAGTATGCTGATGGGCACAACAGTTGGCAGTCGAAAGGTACCTCTACTGTGTTGCAAATCGTATTAACTAGAAGAGCAAGTCCAGTCAGCAAGGAGTCACTTCCATCTTTCAACTAAGGTGGAAGAAAGTCGTCGGGTCCATGAGCCTTGTTTCGTTTCAACACGATAAGCTCTCTTCCAAAGTGGGGAGTGTGAGATCTAGTTTTCAAATCGGCTCAGGTGATTCGGAAAGCAGTCTTGGGCCTGCTGAACTGCTCTTCCAAATGATCGGCTCAATGGGCCAGTTGACAATGCTGAGAATAGACAAAATATCCTATTTTCTCAGCTATTGTCTCGCTAACTGATGGGTAGAAGATAGGCGCTTCTATGAAGCGGGAAAGTGGGCGTCAAACGTGCACACCCTAGAGCATGGTCAGAATCAAGACAGGCAAACCAAAATGATCGAGTCTGGAACTGATCTGCACCGTCTGTAGCTGACCGCAATATGGCCAACTTGGATCCAGATCAACGAGGAATTCGGTGAGTGTGGTAACACAACATGAAGGTGTGTACTGTGTTTGGCGTGCATCTATCCAGAAGAGATCACAGTTGTTGTTCGGAGTCCGAAAAGCGACCCACTTAGACATTCACGTCAACAACAACAATCAAGATGTCAATATCTTTCGCCATGCGGCGAAGGGAAGAGAATTCAAGATACGAATCATCTTTGATGCCTTCCGCACTACAATCAGTAGGGGCATAAACGGAAACAATAGAGAAAGGCACGTTATCTTTAAACGGTGCTTAGATGGATGGAGGTTCGAAGACGAATCGCACACACTTGACCGTTTACTGGTATCCAGTCGAGTAGATTGCTTTCATCATGTTTGCTAATGGTGATTGCGACGTCATTGACAGTCACTGACCCTGTATCACCGAAGACTTAGAGTTTAGTTAATGATCACAGATTTGGAGTCAGGAAGGCGAAGACTGGTCACGAAGCTATTATCTTGTCTGCATGTTTCGGAGATTCGGCGAGCAGAATACATTCCTTTTTGTAGAACGACCATTTGTACAGCAAGTTTCGTCAGCATTTAATTTAAGAACGCATTCAATATGGATCGGTGATGAAACGTTTTGTTTAGTAAATGATAAGAAAATTTTTGAATGTTATCGTCATGTGTTTTTCAGGCTGGATTAAATGAGTGCACTCATAGATTGCTGGAGATCGACGAGTATGACCACATTTGGCAAAAAAAAGAAAATTGTTTATGTTATTTAAATGTAGGCAGGCTCTCGCTTGTCCCTAATTGAAACGGCAGTTTATTCCACAGATGGGCGTACCTCACTAAGAAGAAATGTAAGCAGATGTTTTTCTTGGTCCTCTGTAATAATGGTAGACATTTTCCATTACGAGTGGGATAGGTTAATCCTATTTGTAAAACGACAGTCGTACTAGTTGAGAATACTTGTGCATATACTATACTGATGAAAGATTGAGGGTTGGTGCTACATGTTGGCCGAGCTGACGCAGAGTGCGGACATAAAGCGAATCATAGTGAAATGAGATCCTTGGTTTGAGAAACGAGCTACATGTATATATGGCAACAGCTGCGTGATCAGCGGCAGTCCTGTTGTGAGGGAAGAGAAAAAAAGATAAGCACTGCCAACTTGGTCGGGAGAGCAGATGACGCTTTCCGGCTGTCCATTCGGAGAACGGGTTTTGTTCGAGGTGCCCTATTTCTAACCTTTGATCAACAAGACAGTGGGGTACATGAAGTTACGTTTGAGGGACTCCACTCAGAGCCTTTGGCTAAATACCCTGAGCCACAAGGCAAATGGTGTAATTTCAACCCTGGAGTGTGGTTGCAGAGAACCAAGGGATTGCCTGAGGTTTATCGTACGCAGTCTTCAAAGAACTGGAACGATTCACGTGTGTTTTAGACCGTAATATGTTACGTACGTGCGACCACGGTCAGTCGCTGGTGGAATTTGCACCAATTTGGCCAGAAGCGGACGGTACCAAACCATTGAGTACCGAGTGGTGCCATCCCACCGTCAGGGGCAATTCATGGCGTGCGCCCACTACGCTAATCGAGCTCTGAGCTTATACCACATCAAACTGTTGTCTCCCATGACTAGATTTTAAGGAGGGAGGGCTATCGTTCTTTCCCCGAGAGAATTGTGACACTGAGTTAGTCTATCTCAAACCTCACCGTAACAGAAGATATTAAATTCAGCAATTTCGCGTATTCTCCCGAACTGTTTACAGACTATTTGTGGAACGAACAGGATGCATATCACAGCCAAAGTGCGATGTTATCGGCGAAATTTCGGACGATGGAAAGCCGTTGTGTTTACATGAACCGGTCAGAGGAAGGCGAGCACTAGCCTCATCAGGGTAGGGCGAGGCTGGTCACGAAATTCGTATGTTTGAATAAACCTGATTTCAACTGCTGAATCCCCGAGGCTTCAGTGAACTGAAGTAGGCGTTTTTGTTAGTTACCCCCCATATGCGTTTCGGAACACAGGGCAATCAAGTATGTGGCGGGCAATAAAGATAGTGGGTAGATTTGGGACATCTGCGACCATGTTTCACGGGACATACTCTGCAACCCTCGCATAGAGCCTTATCTCAGTTCGACCAATGTATTTGCGACCGCAAGTACAGTTAAAGTGGTAGATGCATGAAGCGGTATTTTGTAGGTCTGATCCGTTCAGGTTGGTTTTGCACAGCAGCCTTCTGACTTGGTGCGATACCACTAGCTCAGCTACGTAATATCACGTCTTGATAAACCCATGGAGACGGTAGAGAAATCAGTCAACTTGGTCCCCTTTAAATGGCAACGTAATGAATACCAATTTTGTGTCATGGTAAAAATTGTCTTGGATATCCATTCTCTTTTAATGTACAGGTGACGCATTCCAGCTCACGGTCGATTGTGCTCGGAGAGCAAATTTGAAGAGCTCTAGAAAAAGTGGTATGGACTAAAGATCGTTTGTAGTTCACAGGACAGAATCCATTACAGTTGAGGTATTGTCGCGTCCATGTTGGTTTTCTGTACACAGAGCGAACGAATGTACCGCCTGGCTTTCTATGTAATTTAATATTTAGCAAATGGAAGGATCCATCGTATTCGTTTTCCATCATGAAGTTGATCGTGGGGTGGCCGATATACATCATTTCCAGTATGTCGCCTGCTGAGGAATGTCAACGATACCAAATGTGTCGTCAGTCATAAAAGTGTAGGTTTTGCATACAAGAACGTAGTTCGGTATTTTCCAGGTGGCCCATGATGATATCAGCCAAAATTGGGCCCAATGGACTGCCCATGGTCACGCTGTCGATACAGGGTTCCGATGTATCGGAATTGAATATCCTTTGTGCATAGGTGGAGTAATGGCTCGAGTTGGAGCGATGGGAACCCAACTTTGACAGCATGTCTGGCTATTATATCAAACATTTCTTCTAAAATGAGGTTCGTGAATAATGAACATGGATCGAAAGAGACCATATGCTTGCGGTAGCAAATACATTGACCGACTTGACAGAAGCTTGTCAGCGAGGATTACATATAGATCTAATCAGAAAATCTTTAACACTGATTTTGTTAAATTTTTCGTCATACAGAAATAACGACACATAAACCTACCTGGCACTGTGGATTGTGCTACCAGGATATCGGCCTCCACGGGAAGCTTTGTAACGATAATCTCCCCGGCAGCGTCTGTGACCATGGGAATTGCAGCGCCGCGGTCGAATTCGCTCCCTCGGCACGCCTTTAAGGGAATGTGTGGGGACAAATGTGAATAAAATGTCCATCTACACTCTGAAGAGATATCTGCAGTCGATATCGCTCGATAAGCATATGGGAAAAGACAAGAAGGAAAGTTTGCAACTAAGCACCTTAATATTCCTTCCTTTGAGAAACAACTTCCATGTGGTAACAATGTCATTCAGAGAATCTCAAAAAGGCTCCACTTCGGTTAGATTGCATGGCTCATGTCTGTCAAACACGTGCAACTATGCGGTGAATATTTAGTAGGTCTATTTCACTAAAATCTTTATTGAGCATCAGATGGCTTTCTACGTCGTACTTCAAGGTATGTGAGGCTGAAGCGTTGAAATGGGGACAACATATCTGGTTCTTAGCGTCCTAATCTTGTGGTTTAGATGAGAAGTCGTATGATAAACAGATCATTAATTCAGTAAAAAATGCTAGAGAGCGTGGATGATTCAAAGTGTTCATACGAGGCTTTGGTTATTACCTCTAAAGAGAGAACCTATAACGTGGAACAAAACTGAATTAAAAACAGTGAACCATGAGAAAACAACAGATGACATGAAAAATTTGTTATGTTCCTGGGCTAGAGAAGTTGCGAGTCAAAAAGGAGGGATTGGATTCAGGGGTGCATTAGTGGTAGTGTTGTACTGACAATGATTCAAATCCTTGATGTGGCTGCATTGAAAGTCCCTAACCAATAAGGTTAATGTACTAACTCGGCCACGCCTTTCAACAAGTTGTTCTTGCTATCGTGCAGTAGCAGTGAATAGGAACCTCACTACTTCAATCAACAACGTGCATCAACAGTAAATAATGAACATCCAGACAGCTGATTAGTAGCAGTGTTAAAGGGATGACCTATGCAGCAGAGCGGGTTCGCGTTCAACATGCAGTCCAATCTGGTGCTGTGAGATCTGTTGCCACAGAGCGTAATGGACTACGATGGTGGGCGAATCGACTGAACACTTCAGGTGTTCGCTAGTTGATATTCACAAATGACACAATCTAGGTCTGGTCTTGCTATATACCCTCGCAATTCGAAGGTCAAAAACGCATACCGAGTCGTGCACGTAGATCTAGGGTTGGTGGCACCTGGTTTCGGATTTGCCTGTCACTGTGGCCACCCACAGGATGCCTGCGCCTACAGAGGGACCATGGGTGCCTTGCGCTGCACTACCCACATACCCCATATCCACTGTAAACCCGAAGAAATAAGACCGGGAGGCACGTTGATGGGAGCCATGTTTCATCAACGGAGCCGGTCAACACTCCTTGACAGGCAAATACAAACACCCTGTATTTGGAAAACAATCGCACACAAGGCGGTGGCTGGACCGTAGTCCGCTCCACACTGTGCATGGAATCACTATTGGACCTTAACACGGCCACAAGGACCGTGCACTCCGTCCCCTCCAGCAACGATCAACTGTCTTCTGGAGCCAGTCTGGACGAGGTAGTGGGTAAGAGACAGGTAGGCACCGGGTCAACATGTACATCAAGCGCAGTCACACCAGGGATATGAAGCAACAGCCAATCACTTGAGACAACTATATCAAATAAAAAAATCGAATAATGCATACAGATAGAGCGACATAACGCTTCAATAAATAAGCACATAAAATAAGTTGGCTTTCGAAAAAGCCACTATAGGTTCAAGACTTTAGAAACTATATCTTAAGATAGTGTCACAAGCGCGAAAATGTTACCAAAGTTAACTACAATTAACTTGAGCAACGTGTGCAAGTTTATAAAAGATAGTTAATGTAGACATTAATATGAGACAAGAAAACATTAGGACAATATAGCAAACCCACCATCTGAAATAGAGACTCAGCATGCAGGCAAGCGGTCAGTAAAGCGAATGCATCATACCTACAAAAGCTGATTACGTTCTCTGCAGGACCCGTCGTCGTTACGGTGTTGGCCCTGATTGGCCTCGCTAATAGCTCACTAGGCGTGCCTGAATCACGCATCGGCGACCGCATGTGCTACAGCATCATGCACTCTATGTCGATGCAGTAGAACTCGCTTTCGATTCGCATGACTCGCAATCAAGATTAGAAGGTGAGAGGCACCCTGTGATCATGCCCCGGTAACAAAGCTTCGGTGTCCCCACATGCCGTTTCCCTATATGCAGCTGACCATATAATAGTAGTTTCGGTATCCGCGTCGAATCCATACGTCACACATGACCGAGCCACCTCAGGTGTCTCAGTAAAAGTATGCAGTCCACTGCATACATCCCACTTCGGCGCAAAACTTCCGTGTCTGCAACTCTGGCGCCCCAACCGATCCGCAAAATTCGTCGCAAACACTGCTGATGGAACTGCTCGAGATATCGCACATCCCACAGGTACATCGTCTACGCTTCACTGCCGTATAGAAGAACGGACAGTACCATGGATTTGTACACCATCAGCTTTGTGCCAATGCTCAGCTGATTGTTGTTCCACACTCAGGACTCTAGCTTCCCGAATGCCGCTGCTGCCTTCGAGACGCGGATACGCAGCTCACTGTGTAGCTGCTGATCAGTCGACATCACAATCCCATGGTAGATGAAGCAAGAGGTGGTTTCCAATACTGCAGCATCAATGCTGATTTGCGGCAATATTGAAGATTGCACCTACGGTGAAGGCTGAAAGAGACAGACAGTTTGATTGTGTTGATTGTGAGCCCAAATTTTGCCGCTGTCGAAGCCAGAGCACTAGTCATGTGCTGCAACTCATCCGTGCTGTGTACAAACAACGCACAGTCATCAGCAAACAGCAACATACGGATAGTTGTCTCACAGACTAGAGTTGTCGCAACGAAACGACGGATGTTCAGCAACCTACCATAAATACGGTGCTCCACACGAACACCGTAAGCACAAGCGGCATCAAAAGCACAAGACATCATTCATCATCATCATACACGTTAGCTAGAGGTGGGGAACACCTCAGCTACTGTGCCGCAATACATTGCAAAAAGGAGAAAAAAAGCAACTGGTGCAAACCGGCTGAGCTACCGGTAACGGAAGGTCATCGTTCCGGTAAGCTACCAGCCGGCTACTGTGCATCAAAAAAAATTACTATGCAAAATTATATAAGGCTAAATAATGAGATCGTGGTTGGAGGAGGAGGCTAAGAGGGATGGGGTGGGACAAAGAAACTCACAGCACGAAAGCCACTGAGGTCGGCTCCTTGCCATATCAGCAAGTGTGTCCAACCAAACGTGTTCATCGTCGTTCGGACCCCAACCGGTGAGCCGAGACGCTCCAACCGAGGCCAGCTTAGAAGTGAGGGACTTCATTCCTCTCGACCAAGTCATCGCTTGGCCACCCCTCCTCTTCTTCCTTCCACAACCCCGGCGCGCAAAAAACGCACGTCGAAGAAGTCAGTGGGCTGGCATGCGTAACATGTGGCCCAGCCATCCGAGCCTGATGCGTGAAATAACGGCGCTGAACGGTTCATTTCCTTTTCCTGCGCCATAAACAAGGCTTCGAACACGCTCGTTGCTCACGCGGTGTACCCACCAGATGTGAGCCAAACTGCGAAGGCACCGGCGGTGGAACGTAACTAGCCTCTCTTATGTCCGCTGCTTTAAGCGGCCAGGTTTCACAACCGTACAGTAGGGTCGAACGTACCGCTGCATTTCACACTCTACCCTTCACGGCAAGAGTGATGTCGCGCCGGCGCCATAAGTAGCGATGGTTAGCAAAAGCGCCCCGGGATTTTGCTATACGGTTCGTGATCTCATCTTCAGTCACACGGGCGCTGATACAACATCCCAGGTAGTTGAATTTTTGTACGACTTCTAGCTCATCCCCACCAAGGGTCAGCGTAGGAGGCGATCCGTACCAATCTTGGAGAAACGCTTTGCACGTCGATGGTGCAAAGCAAAACCCGAAGCGACTGACAACCAGTGCTAATCTATCCAGTGCCGCTTTGCACGTCTGGGAGCTGTCACAGATGAGGGCAATGTCGTCTGCATAGTCCAAGTCAAGAAGTCGTTCACTTGAGAGCAGATCCACACCTTCTAAGTCGTGTCCTGTGAACGCGATTTCCATGACTTCGTCAACAGCGAAGTTAAAGAGGAAAGGTGACAGCGGGCATCCTTGTCTCACACCGCTGGAGATATTAAAGGGCGATGACAACTTGCCGTAAGTCCTCACTCTGCCTAAGCTACGCGCGTATAATGCTCGGATAATATTTACATATTTCTCAGGTACACCTTTTCTGAGTAGACAATCAAAAGTGCAAGTCTATCCACCGAATCGAATGAACCTTTCATATGGAGGAACAAGACAACGGTGGGCTGCCAATATATGTGACGGTGCTCCAATAACTGACGCAAAGTGAAGATGGGGTCAATGCAGCCACGACCTCGACGAAACCCGGCTTGCTCTTCACGAATCTGGCCTTCAGGAGTGCCAGTCAGTCAGTGAAGGATGACAGAGGCAAGCAATTTGGAGGCGATGGAGATCAGACTGATTCCTCTATGGTTGCCGCATTCAGATCGTGAGCCTCCCTTGAAAAATGGAACTATGACGGAGCGGCTCCAGTCGGTTGGGACAGTTCCCTGCTCCCACAGTTTGACTAGTAACTCGTGTAAATTATCCACAAGAGCAGGTCCCCCGAATTTGAAGAGGGCTGAAGGATGATCATCTGGTCCCGCGGCTTGGTTTAACTTCAACGGTTCGATCTCACGTTCGACTTCCGAGCAAAAGGGTGGATTCAAAGGAACAACCCACGGAGTGGGGCGATCAGTGGCCGGCAAGAAATCTAATAATTCCGACCGGTTAAATTGCCTTTCAAAGTGCTCAGCCCAACGCTCCAAGCGTTTTGACAAGTTGTGGATATGCTGTCCACTCTCGTCACAAATTGTTTCACTAACACCAGGTATCCTGCTGCCTGATTCCCGTATCAACCGGAATAACTTACGATGGTTACCAAGAGCAGCGGCCATTTCCATCTCTGATGCACGATGAGACCTTCAGGATTCGCGGTCTCTTTACAAGCTAGCACGGAGTTTGCGCGGAACTCTTTGCGAGTTACATTGTGTTCGCTTCCAGCTGGAATATGCCGGCGAGCATCGAAAAGTTCCAAAGACCGCAAAGAGAAACAATGTCCATGTTGGCGATTAGACACACTACGCGAGGATTTTCCTGCTGCTGTTAAGGTCTGGTGAATATGAGACCAGTGAGCTTCAGCTGCATACAGTGAACGTCTACTCAACTCGCACGACAGCGTACTTTGATAGGCAGTCAGAACAGCTGGCTTCGCCAGTTGGCTGGTGTCAATGCGCTGACAACGTCGTCTTGGGCGCACGCCAAAACGCATCCGCAGGTGTGCACATACAAGTGCATGGTCGGTGTCCACACCTGTGCTCCAAATCGAGCGACAGTTCTGAACGCAGCCCCTCCATCGTTAACTTATCGCAATGTGATCGATTTGTGTCCATAGCTGGTTCGAGGCTGGTAGGCGCCAAGTCACCCTCCGGCGGGTGCTGGGTCTGAAATTAGTGCTCGCAAGAAATAAGCGAGCATCTTCACACAAATAAGGCAACCGCTCACCGTTATCATTACGGGTGCCTACACCATGTTGGCGGCCCAGGTGCAGCTCATCAGTGGACAATTTTCCAACTTGAGCGTTCAGATCCCCGGCCAGCACAACAGTGTCCGAGATTCCTCTATGACGAAGGAGCTCGTTCAGTTGGTGATAGAAATCGCCTTTTACAGAATCATCGCTAGAATTTGTGGGTGCATAGGCAGTGATGACGAACAGACACCTGCTAGCCCGACGCGAACATCGAAATGAGTCTGGACCTTACCGTGGTCGATGGCTTGTGTGCATCAGTGATCCATTGAGTTATACCGGGTGGTGCACTTCTGCACCTGCAGAGTCAATCATACGAGATTGGTCAATGGTTAGAGGCCAGACAAACAGCCTCCTGGTCCCCGAGGTTGGGGGTTGGAATGAGGGTGGCTCCTTATTCCTCAAAACGGACTCATTGTAGCCCAATGTCAAACCTGCTGCTTTGTGAAGAGGTTTTTGAACCAAAGTCTTTGGTTGAGAACCCTAATCGCTCTCCTGTCTAGGCCTGGGCAACTTGACAGTATCCTGCCCACGCAATACTCTGAATCTTTTGTCAAACAATTTCTTGATGCTTTGGCCACCGCAGAGGATAATCAACGGTGCCCTATCTGCTGCATCGAGCAGGGTGGATAGGGGTCTGGATGCTACTACTCAAGCCTACCCACTATCTTCTTCCCCCTCCACTTTTTCACTCTTACCGTCCCGTTCCAGCTTCACTTTCATCCCCCCCTGTTTTCAAACCCCCAATTCTCGGCCCTCCCCCACCTTGCTTCAATAGTCGCTTGTCTTCTAGTTTTAACTCACATGTGAACGCAGAGCGTCATTCCTGCCTTGTAAACAGGCTCATATCCAATTAAGCGGTCAAGCCCAGTCCATCGGCTTCCATTTGGAGCCCTCGATCCTCCTACAGATTGGCATGCCTTAATATACGCACATTGATTCAGATCGGTCAACAGGCAGCACTTGCCTGAACATTAGAGACCCTCTCGATCGATATCTGCTGCTTATCGGAGACCCGCCTACAAGACTCGAGCTCTGTGCTCGCTCTGCGATACCCTTCAGGTGACACAGGCAGCACTTTCTCATTGCATCCATACGGTGACGATGCAGCTTCGAGCACGGACCAAGCCGGTGTCGGTATTGCCCTGAGTCCTTGGGCTGAAACTGCTCTGGTTGGCTGGATTCCAATCAGTAGCCGGATGTGTGCGGTCCGATTGGCTGGCTAGTTCAAAGCTTCGAAGTCGCGTGGGACTGACAGGTGTCGGTTCGTCGTCACTGCCTATGAACCCACAAATACCAGCGATGATTCGGTAAAAGACGATATCTATCACCAGCTGAACGAGCTCCTTCGCTACGGAAGAATCTAGAGCACTGTTTGTGCTGGCCGGGGATCTGAATGCTCAAGTTGGAAAATTATCCACTGATGAGCTGCATCTGGGCCGCCAACATGGTGTAGGCACCCGTAATGATAACGGTGAGCGGTTGCTTCATTTGTGTGAAGATGCTCGCTTATTTCTTGCGAGCACTAATTTCAGACCCAGCACCCGCCGGAGGGTGACTTGGCGCCTACCAGCCTCGAACCAGCTATGGACACAAATCGATCACATTGCGATAAGTTAACGATGGAGGGGCTGCGTTCAGAACTGTCGCTCGATTTGGAGCACAGGTGTGGACACCGACCATGCACTTGTATGTGCACACCTGCGGATGCGTTTTGGCGTGCGCCCAAGACGACGTTGTCAGCGCATTGACACCAGCCAACTGGCGAAGCCAGCTGTTCTGACTGCCTATCAAAGTACGCTGTCGTGCGAGTTGAGTAGACGTTCACTGTATGCAGCTGAAGCTCACTGGTCTCATATTCACCAGACCTTAACAGCAGCAGGAAAGTCCTCGTGTAGTGTGTCTAATCGCCAACATGGACATTGCATCTCTTCGCGGTCTTTGGAACTTATCGATGCTCGCCGGCATATTCCAGCTGGAAGCGAACACAATGTAACTCGCAAAGAGTTCCGCGCAAACTCCGTGCTAGCTTGTAAAGAGACCGCGAATCCTGAAGGTCTCATCGTGCATCAGAGATGGAAATGGCCGCTGCTCTTGGTAACCATCGTAAGTTATTCCGGTTGATACGGGAATCAGGCAGCAGGATACCTGGTGTTAGTGAAACAATTTGTGACGAGAGTGGACAGCATATCCACAACTTGTCAAAACGCTTGGAGCGTTGGGCTGAGCACTTTGAAAGGCAATTTAACCGGTCGGAATTATTAGATTTCTTGCCGGCCACTGATCGCCCCACTCCGTGGGTTGTTCCTTTGAATCCACCCTTTTGCTCGGAAGTCGAACGTGAGATCGAACCGTTGAAGTTAAACCAAGTCGCGGGACCAGATGATCATCCTTCAGCCCTCTTCAAATTCGGGGGACCTGCTCTTGTGGATAATTTACACGAGTTACTAGTCAAACTGTGGGAGCAGGGAACTGTCCCAACCGACTGGAGCCGCTCCGTCATAGTTCCATTTTTCAAGGGAGGCTCACGATCGGAATGCGGCAACCATAGAGGAATCAGTCTGATCTCCATCGCCTCCAAATTGCTTGCCTCTGTCATCCTTCACTGACTGACTGGCACCCGTGAAATCCAGATTCGTGAAGAGCAAGCCGGGTTTCGTCGAGGTCGTGGCTGCATTGACCCCATCTTCACTTTGCGTCAGTTATTGGAGCACCGTCACATATATTGGCAGCCCACCGTTGTCTTGTTCCTCCATATGAAAGGTTCATTCGATTCGGTGGATAGACTTGCACTTTTGATTGTCTACTCAGAAAAGGTGTACCTGAGAAATATGTAAATATTATCCGAGCATTATACGCGCGTAGCTTAGGCAGAGTGAGGACTTACGGCAAGTTGTCATCGCCCTTTAATATCTCCAGCGGTGTGAGACAAGGATGCCCGCTGTCACCTTTCCTCTTTAACTTCGCTGTTGACGAAGTCATGGAAATCGCGTTCACAGGACACGACTTAGAAGGTGTGGATCTGCTCCCAAGTGAACGACTTCTTGACTTGGACTATGCAGACGACATTGCCCTCATCTGTGACAGCTCCCACTGGATAGATTAGCACTGGTTGTTAGCCGCTTCGGGTTTTGCTTTGCACCATCGACGTGCAAAGCGTTTCTCCAAGATTGGTACGGATCGCCTCCTACGCTGACCCTTGGTGGGGATGAGCTAGAAGTCGTACAAAAATTCAACTACCTGGGATGTTGTATCAGCGCCCGTGTGACTGAAGATGAGATCACGAACCGTATAGCAAAATCCCGGGGCGCTTTTGCTAACCATCGCTACTTATGGCGCCGGCGCGACATCACTCTTGCCGTGAAGGGTAGAGTGTGAAATGCAGCGGTACGTTCGACCCTACTGTACGGTTGTGAAACCTGGCCGCTTAAAGCAGCGGACATAAGAGAGGCTAGTTACGTTCCACCGCCGGTGCCTTCGCAGTTTGGCTCACATCTGGTGGGTACACCGCGTGAGCAACGAGCGTGTTCGATGTATTGTTTACGGCGTAAGAAAAGAAACTGAACCGATCAGCACCGTTATTTCCCGCGCCAGGCTCGGATGGCTGGGCCACATGTTACGCATGCCGGCTTACTGCCTCCCGCGACGTGCGTTTTTTGCGCGCCGGAGTGTGGATGGAAGAAGAGGAGGGGTGGCCAAGCGATGACTTGGTCGAGAGGAATGAAGTCCCTCACTTCTGAGCTGGCCTCGGTTGGAGCGTCTCGGCTCCCTGGTTGGGGTCCGAAAGACGATAAACACGTTTGGTTGGATACATTAGCGCATATGGCTAGGAGCCGACCCCAGCGGCGTTGGTGCTGTGAGTTTCTTTGTCCCACCCCATCCCTCTTAGCCTCCCCCTCCAACCACGATCTCATTATTTAGCCTTATATAATTTTGCATAGTAATTTTTTTGATGCACAGTAGCCGGCAGGTAGCTTACCGGAACGGTGACCTTCCGTTACCGGTAGCTCAGCCGGCTTGCACCAGTTGCTTTTTTTCTCCTTTTGGCAATGTATTGCGGCACAGCACCTGAGGTGTTCCCCATCTCTAGCTAACGTGCATGATGATGATGAGTCCCACGCGACTAAGAAGCCTTGAATGAGCCAGCCAATCGGACCGCACACATCCGGCTACTGATTGGAATCCAGCCAACCAGAGCAGCTTCAGCCCAAGGACTCAGGGCAATACCGACACCGGCTTGGTCCGTGCTCGAAGCTGCATCGTCACCGTATGGATGCAATGAGAAAGTGCTGCCTGTGTCACCTGAAGGGTATCGCAGAGCGAGCACAGAGCTCGAGTCTTGTAGGCAGGTCTCCGATAAGCAGCAGATATCGATCGAGAAGGTCTCTTATGTTCAGGCAAATGCTGCCTGTTGACCGATCTGAATCAATGTGCGTATATTAAGGCATGCCAATCTGAAGGAGGATCGAAGGCTCCAAATGGAAGCCGATGGACTGGGCTTGACCGCTTAATTGGATATGAGCCTGTTTACAAGGCAGGAATGACGCTCTGCGTTCACATGTGAGTTAAAACTAGAAGACAAGCGACTATTGAAGCAAGGTGGGGGAGGGCCGAGAATTGGGGGTTTGAAAACAGGGGGGGATGAAAGTGAAGCTGGAACGGGACGGTAAGAGTGAAAA